GCTGTATACAACCGATTTCTATAAAACCGGCTTCTATAAATTCGACCTAATTTCGTAGTGTAGACATACCCTTAGTGTTACATAGGCATAAGCCCCATACTCATAAATAGGACTTTAGCCTGAGTAAGGACTTCCGGATTTAGCCTTAGATGCTCAGTAATTGCATTTAGTGCAGTAGAAAGGAGAGTATATGAGAACAAACCCATTCACTCTCCTATTTCTGATCAATTCAGCACTAGCCTCATCATACAAATAGGCTACTGATAAAAGGGACAATCACTTTTTTGACACATTTGGTAATCCACATTGCTATGCCAATTAACTACATTATGCAGGCGCTCTCTCTCTCTCTCTCTCTCTCACACACACACACACACACACCCCGCTGATGTTTTAGCAGCACTGTCAATTCTTCTAAATGCTTTAAACGACAGTAAATGTCCCTTCTCATTCATCCATTATTTCAGTAAATAAAAATCTAGGTCTTCTAAAATGACTATATTTTTAAAATGTAGTAGAACATGTAGTACCATTGAAATGTAAAGTTGCATTCTTTTCAATCTCTTATTCTCTACTAATGCATTTCATTGTATTGAATACAATCTATTCTGTTGTAAAATTAATGGCTTACTTTCTTCTTTCTTTCTGGCTGTAAAACTAATGTCTTACTTTCTTCTGTTGGCCAGTGTTTCTTCATTGTCTCTTGCAGGCATCTTCATCCCTTGATTATCTTTGTTCTGATCAGAATAACCTGGGGACAATGTCGTCTTTCTCACAGGATGACCACATATCTTGTTTACCTAAAGATAAAGAAAGGCATATGGGGGAAAATAAATAAATAATGTCACCAGTTTAGAATAGTACAATATCCTACCTCTTAATTTAACTTTGATTTTAACTCTGATTTTATTAAGAATGAAGGACAGACCCCATGGCCATATTAGGAAGGTTGGCCAGAGTTGCGATGAGTATGGGACTGGTCAAATCTACTATCCGTATTTCATGTATCCAATTCAACAAACAAGGTTGTTAGCTGCTTCCACTATAAATACAAATGGTGAGACACAAAGAAGGAATGAGATACCAGAGTGTCCTCAGGAAGGCAAGACTCACCAATATGTATTTAATTAACTGCAGTTTTCCAGAGAGACCTTCATATCTGGGAGTTTCAGTGTTATACAGATAGTTAAAGTAATTAAGGAACCTGCTGAATGCTGGAGACAGCAACTTAATTTTATTTTTCCATTATGTACATCAAGTAAAATTTTTGAATGTGTAAAAACTTTGTGATTCCTTTATGATTGGATCAATGTAGCATGTTCAGTGCAGCTACTATATCACATTCTGAACAGTTACCATAATGGAGACTTGAATTGCTTTCATGCAAAATGTAAGTTTAATTACATCTATTTCAAATAATAAATTCTATTAACACCAAGAAAATTATACATCTGTCACTCTGAAATAAGCAGATATAAATACATATGTTGTGATAACTGCCTATCATGCTGGCCAATATTGTCTCATTGTCCTCGGCCATCTATCTTTATCCACCTGTTGTCTCTTGTCTTACAGTTAGATTGTAAACTTCTTGGGGTAAAGACCATCTTTTTTTGGTTTCCTTGTTCTGTGTTTGTACAGTGCCTGGTACAATGGGGTCCTTGACTAGAGCTCATTTAGTAATATTTGGCACTATGTTGTAACTTTTGTATGAAAGAGGCTATCAGTTCACCATTATATCTCATTATTCCTATTAGTCACTGAGGTACAAATCATGGTAATATATATTATTAAATAGGAGATGCTCCATACCCTAGACAAGATATTAATTGGATCATGGTTCTGTACCTTGTGTGCACCAATGTATTACTGAAAGACTAATATCATATGTGAATTATATTAGAAATATATTTCCTATAAACACTCAATTTCATAAAAAAGAGGGAAGGAAAGGAAGGAGACAGGAAGCCCCACTTCTCAGGATCCAACCTCCAAAGCTGGGACACCAGCCAATGGGAGCTGCAGAGCAGGTGCTGGGAGCAGGGGCAGCACCAGGGCCGGCTCCAGGGTTTTGGCCGCCCTAAGCAGCCGAACAAAAAACAAAAAACAAACAAACAAACAAAAAGCCACGATCACGATCTGCGGCGGCAATTTGGTGGAAGGTCCTTCGCTCAGAGCAGGAGTAAGGGACCGTCCGCCAAATTGCCGCCGTATAGGTGGACGTGCCGCCCCTCTCCAAAGTGGCCGCCCCAAGCACCTGCTTGACAAGCTGGTGCCTGGAGCCGGCCCTGGGCAGCACACAGAGCTTCCCTGATTGCCCCGCCACCTAGAGGCCACAGGGACATGCCAGCCGCTTCCAGGAGCTGTGCAGAGGGCAAGCAGGGCAATTCTGCCTTAGACCTGCTGTGTCACCAACCAGACTTTTAACGACCTGATCAGCAGTGTTGACCGGAGCTGCCAGGATCCCTTTTTGACCGGGCGTTCCTGTCCAAAACTGGATGTCTGACAAGCCTAGTCTTGCTACCAGAGTCTGTCTATAAAGTTAACTCTTCTTATTTGCTTGTTATCTGAGCAACTCAGACTTGCATACTCATATCATGCAGTTCACTGCATCCAATCTGTCTTTTCTAAATGTTCACTGGTGGCTGTCATTTTTGAACCATTAATTTTACATGTGTGCTGAATCTACTATTGCCTTTCCTCACTAGCTCATTCCTTGTTGTCACTCTGTTGCTTCATTAAACTGTTGTGCACATGAAAAATTCATGTCTCCAGCGGCCTATTCTACATTATCTTGTCTCCAGCGGCCTATTCTGCATATAAGTAATATGATTTTAAGACCAAAAGGCCTGCATTCCATTTTCCTTAAATATATCCTGGCAGGCTAGGTACCATGGGGAGGAGGGTTGGGGGGGGGGGAATATTTTCCCTCTTCCAAAACAATCTTCAAGGGGCCCCAAATTATTATCAAAAAGTCCAAAATATGTATAAAGTTATGCCGTTTTAAGCAGTGGAACAGCAGGAGACTGGAGAGTCTTAATCCTCTATGTAAAGTGATACAACATAACAAAATACTGACACGGTAGTTACATTTAAATTTTTTTAAATCTTATAATCCAGTATTTTCCAGGACTATAACTAGCCCCTGGAATCTTGTTTGTTTTTTTAAATAGCAACATCCAAAAGCTGCAAAACAGCCACTTGCGCCCCACCCCAGTAATAGGACTCTAGAACCAACCCTGTACTCTGATAGAGACGGGAAAGTCAGAATTTAGATCTCGGAAAGATCTCTGATGAGTTGGGGATTTACAAATCTGTGGGGGAAGATCTCAAAGAGGGAATGATATAGCTCAGGTATGTGGAAGAAGGAGGGCTAAAATCTTCTACAGAAATTAAATTAAACAAGATTAAAAAGTGTTTTCATGTGTTTGGACTGAATTTGCTTAAACAAATACTGCAGAATATTTAGGGTGGGGGGGGGGTCTCAAAAACTGGTAGAATTCCAATTCTCACAGTTCAGTCAACCCTATTGTCATATAGTCAGTATGATATTATGCACAGTTTGTATGCCACAGTATGATGATTGCGTTAATTAAAATATCTTGTAATGACCATGCAGTTAAATTGCAATCATCACCACACACAAACTTTATGGTACTTTAATTCTGCTTCATATAATACCATAAAACATCTACAGTTATTTACAATTGATTAAAAAACAGAAGCATATCAAATCTTCTTCACATTTATAGTGCTGTGGGAAGGAATAATTAGGAATGCAATTATCCATCAACAATATTAGAAATTAGTCTCTAATTTAACCTGTCCTATTATGGAATGTATCCCATTGTTTAATTTTCTTATGCTATAACATTAGGATTATCAGACTTTAGGATTAGCATTAAAATTCTTAAACTTAAACTTTGTCCAAGTATGAACTAGTTTGGATTTAATTTAAAGAATCAAGAAAAAAAGAAGTGGGATTGCCTATTTAAAAAGATGAGATCAAAACTACCATTGTCCCTTAAAAATAGGGGATGGGGTAAAATGGAATGGAATAAAATGAACAAGCAAGACCTTTCTGGTGAGTGCTAATCAAATGGCAAAAGGAATTTCATTGACTGATGGAACTACTTGGTAAGCAAATATAGTAGCTAAGTAAATAAACAAAATTGGAAGATGTCTTGTTGAAGATAGAGCTGCCATATACATAGATTCATGTCCTATCTGCTTGTATATAGGATTAGGGGAGGATGAGTGCCATTGAAGCCTAGGGAAAGATTCCCTGGGATGGAAGCCAGCAGATGAAACCAGATCTGGTTTCACCTGCCTAATGAGGGGTTTCTTACACCATACTGTGAACCATCTGGTACTGGCTGCTCTCAGAGATGGGATACCTGGCTAGATGAACCATAGGTCAGATCCACTATGGCAGGCAACTCCTAAATTTCATTTCTACTGATTTGTGTTAATATGTGAGTATTTTACAACCCTTGATATTTACCAAGGCCCATCATCCTTACTCTAGGCCGCAAGAAGTTATATGTAAATTGGAGGAATGATAAGTGACAGTACAAGGTCATTTCAGGCAAAGTTGGGAAAAGAACCCAGGCAAATAATATGGCTGAACCAAACTGCATGCACTTTGTCATAGTGCATTTCAGAATAAAAGTGTCTAATCTATGTGCTTGGTTATATTGTCTATAACCACTTCTCTAGCCCCTAGACTACACCACTTTGCCAGAAATAGAACCCAAGAATCCTGATACTCAATATTCCACTTATGGATAACAAATAGTTGTGTAACCCGCTAATGGCCTTCCTCTTGGAGCTTCTCTACAGAGGATAACAGCCTACTTCTACTAGTAATTACTCCTCTAGTTTCAGGAGAAGAAGGGCTGTGGATGTGAAGCTGTTGGGTTCAAACCCTGCTTCAGCAGGGGAACAATATTGAGATTCTATAGGCAACCTTTCTTCTGGTATTTGCTAACTTTTGCTTTGCAAGTGTATTGGCTTGACTTTGCAAGCTTTTTGTTCTTTTTAACATAGTGTTTTAATATAGACTATATTTATGTTATCTTATTTTAAATTGGTGCTAATTGGGTGACTGGCTACCTTAGAACATTGCCAATAGCCTACAGAGCCTTTCAGCGGTAGGCCACTAGCTTGAAGAGAGTCCGGCTACATATAGGGATTAAAAGTTGTTCCCATTTAATGGATGTTTGGTAGCCTTTAGATGAGATAAGTTTGGTTGGTCTCAGGTCCATCTCCCACATTACAAACTCACTGTGCTTTGCAGTAAATAAAATAAAAAAAACCCAAAACTCATGAATGATTTGACTCTTGAGGTCGCTACTGTCTAAAAACAAAGCAAGAAAGGAAAGGGCTGGATGAAATGTGTTTATTTGTTTAAAAGTTTGTGGTGAACTGAGTTTTAATTTGCTTTCTAGCATTGCACACAAACTATATTTCCTTTCAGTATTCACAATTCTTCCCTGTAAAAATACAACCAAAAAAATCCCAACAATTATTTCCAGGGCACAATGAACTTTATTCTTCATGGAGTTGCCAAGATGTATACGTAATATTTTCAGGTATGTATGGGTAAAAGAGAGAGAGAAGGATAACCAATGTACACATTCCTTCTATAACATCAATAGTGCAATCAGTTTTAGAGAGTAGAAGTAGTACTGTATAGCATCATTCCTCCATTGCTAACCAGTATAAGTTTTTGGCCATTTTTGATCACCTAACTGTTGAAAACAAAGATTTCTGATATCAAGATTTACTGCTCTTTTAC